TTTTTTTTTTTGCTCGTAATATATGACGACTGAACTAATAAATATATATCAAATATTTCTGTGTAGATCTGCCACTGAAATGAGCAGCACAGTGATTGCAGCTTTTGCTACTTTGTGACAATTTATGAATGAGCCTTTGGGATTTATGTTGGGAAATGTGGAAGTGAGCTGATCTCTGTGAGTTGTGTACTTCAGAGATGAGTGATAAGCTTGTTTACATATATATATTTTTAAAGCTGGCAGGTCCTCTGGTCAAACTAGATGAAGACAGCGGTGCAGTTTATGAAATGTCAACGGAGAAAAGTCAGCAATATTTTAATAACTGATTTATTTTTAGTTCTTTTTTTTGGGCTAAATGCCAAATATTTGGTCCCAGTTTTTAACATAAACATTTGCTACTTGTGTTCATTATATATGAATTTGGTTTCGTTGTGTTGGTTCCAGTCCCATTCCCAGCAGATTCATATAATGTAGAGCCAAAACATGGCTTTGGCTCTTGATAACAATGACCACATCAGTATCAAAACCTGATTTCAGCTGTTCTTAAATAAAACTCTGCCTCATTTGATAAGGGATATTTAGTTCAGTCTGTTGTCATTCGGTGTTATATTAAGCTAGTATGTTCTTTTCATAGGCCAGATTTGGAATAGTCACTTATTTTAAGACAGTAGTATCAAAAAATGCCTCCATTAGTATGCTTTGACGTTCATGGATTATGTTATTTCAGCTGAGTCTGAGATGTGAATGTTTATATTGGGCATGTTTACAGTGAAAAGGCTTTGGCGTAATGTTGTATACTTAATAGAACACAAACATCTTCAAAGGGTAAAGGGGTTTACAATATGGTGAAAGTTAATGAAGGTTGGTGAACTTGCCAGCAGAAATAGAGGCCAGGCGGACATAGTTGTAATCCCTCTCCACTGTCTCATAAGGGTAACTCTCCACCAGCTTGAGTCCTGGGGAAAAAACAACACACAGTTAGGAATAAAGGCTTCAGTAGGCACTACAGTTTATCTAAATCTCAAGAAACACAAATAATGGCATGTAGTCATTTTTATTTCGTCACTGAGACTCCAGTTCACTCAGTCATAAATTACACACACATTCCCTCAGCTTATTATTCATTTGTCAGGGTTATTGTGTTATTTTCAACCCACTCGCCAATGCTGGCATTTATGTTTCTGTAGCCACATGTATAATCCAAACATTTCTCAACCTAAAAAGGGTTTCATATCTATATTTATATCGACATTGCGGTATTTTTAAACACTCATGGTGCTCTTTGTTTTCAGAAAATAGAATGGGGGTAAGTATAATAACATCTATGAACATAAATAACATAAATTATATACTTTATTGTACGCCACATATTGCGAGCATGTGGAATCCCCCAGTAATCCAGTCCTCTTATACAGGCTTGCTTACAGCCTCTGGCCACAATTTAATTTTCTGCCACACACTTCCTGTCGGCCTTTTCATGAAATATGAACACTAGTTGCATTCTTAACGGTGCCTCAAAATAACTGATTCTTGATTAATTGTTTAGGTTGACACTGAGAACAGTTCACTTTATTTACAAATGTCTGGAATCTATTATCAGTGACAAAGTATTCCTTGGGGAGCCATGAGAAGACTGGAACCAGCCTTTCAGTGGGAGAGTGCTCCTCTGTCTGTTATCCTCCTCAGCCTGTTGCTTCTTGCTTTGATTTTCTGCTGTGCCATGTTGTTTGATGAACAGTGCAACTGATATATGAGCCTCTATTGGCCTTTCACAGATAAATAAGCATCGGTGTGTATGTTATCCAATATGTCTGTTTTTTCTTTTTACTGAATCTAATGTTGATAAATTGCATTTCATTTAAAATTTCTCTCTCATAGGTTACCCAGCAGAGTGCCTTCGACTTTATTGCTTGCTGTACCTTTCAGCACTGCCCACACCACATACGATACTATCACAGCAAAGCGGACGGTGGTGAAAAGTCTTTGTAGTAAGTTGCCAATTAGGTTGCAAAAACATTGCTTTAAAGTTAATAAATATCTCATTATTTTCC